AAGCATATTGTGACTATCTTCACCTTGATTGCATTTTTACACCATCGTGGTACGTTTTGATTTTTCAAAGTCCTCATGTACAATTCTCTTGAAGCAGCGTTTTGTGTGCCCTTTGTTCATATAGTGCTAGGGCCTCATGGAGGCCAGGTAAATGTTCTACCACTTAGTTATATGCCAGCTCAGGATGACATTTCAAAGTTTTTGTCTACCTCAAATCACAAAGATACTCCTCTGTGTTTGTTTCTGGAAGCATTCTGTTTCTCCATTCTAAAGCACAATAATGTAAAAAGTATTCTGCTGGGTGTGGTGGCACATGCCTTTAATCCCAGCACTTGGGAGGCAGAGGCAGGAGGATCTTTGTGAGTTCAAGGCCAGCCTGGTCTACATAGTGAGTTCCAGGACAGCTAGAGCTACAGGGAGACCCTGTCTCAAAAAACAAAAACAAACAAACAAAAAAAAAGAAGTATTCTGTAACCTAAAATTTCTCTCTGCTCTTCCACAGACTTTCTGTTCAGTATTCAACCACAAGATATTGTTAAAAGACAATTTTAAATCATTGGCTGCACATCCTACTGTCTCAATAGTGACCCATCACGAGACTGAGACCCACCATGACCAGCTTATCAGCTAGCAAAGCAAATATTTTACTCGCCCCTTATGCCATTCAGTAGTGTCTCTGTTCTCTGTTTGAAAGCTTCTATAAATAAAAGGCTAAAGAGCAGTTCCCTTTGGCTAGCAGCCCTAGCAGTGAGTTTTTATTTCTGTCTTTTCATCACTTTCTAAATTTTCTACAGTGAAAGTGAATTTTTAATTTTAAAAAGTAAACTTAAAAAATGTTGAGCGAAAATAATTAATTACATTTCCATAGCTAGAAGCTAAAAGACACCTTATTTCTGGCTGGGGAGATGGCTTAGCTGGTAAAGTGCTTGCCTGCTATACCAGCATGGGTTTGATCCCTAGCACCTGTGTGAAGAGCCAGGCATGGTGGCAGGCTTCTACCTCCAGCACTCAGGTGGAGAGACAGGCAGATCCCTGAGGTTCATTGGCCTAGCAATGAATCAGCAAGACACAGACCAAGGAGCAACACCGTCTCAAAAAGTAAGGTAGATGGCTTCTGGGGAACGACATACGCCCAAGGTTGACCTCTGAGTGTCATCCAAATGAGACATACACATACGCACATATCCACAAACACACATGCATAAAATAAGAGAAACATTGCTTCCTAATTTTCCCTGTGTGGAGTTTGCCTTGGCCCTGGTTTTTTCTGCTCGTGTCTCATCTTATTCACAAATAGAACCACAAAAACCTCTAAAAATACAATCATTTGCCAAGTATCCATAATTAATTACTGAAAACAGAGGGTAAGCAATCCTTTGTGAGACTGTTAATAGTGCCAGAATAGGAGAACTTCTGGAGAGAAATATCTGGAAAGAGAGACTTAAACTCTACGCCAGGGTCCCCTCTGCTTGTACTATTATGGGACCGTTTTACAGAGATGCATCCACTCACCCGAGCAGCACTGAGAAGTGTACAGCTGACTTGACAGCATTTACAAATTATGTCTCCTGGTCAGAATAACTTACACTGTGGAAATGCTTCCATATGCTAAAGTTGGAACCAGCACAGTGACAAGGAAGAAAAGGGATGGCTGTGAGTGGCCAGATTTCAGACACTCGCTCCACTGCAGACATGCAAATTAATGCTGCAGTTGCTGAAGGATTTACCATAAATGGTTTCTAATTCTTCTGCCTGCCGCAGCTCTCTGCTAACAACCGGAAGGAGCAGACTTCACCATACAATAATGGTCGGTGAGGAGTCAACTGTGATGCATCTAAGTGATGGAACAATTTGATAGCAAGCATCAATCTCATTTTAATGGAAAATCTATGATGTAAACACGTGTGTGCATGTATGTGTATGTGTGTTCATGTGTGTACATTTATGTGTGTGTGCATGTGTTTGTCTATTTATGTATGTCTGTGTATACATGTCCATACAGGCATGCGTCTGTGTACAAGTGTGAATGTGCATATCTGTGTCTGTCTGTGTATATGTGCTTATGTATGTATACGTGTGTGTGCATTTATAGGCCTATGTGTACATGTGTGTCTGTGCATGTGTGTGTATATGTGTGGTATACATGTGTGTATGTGAACGTATAGGCCTATATGTACATGTGTACACCTGTGCATATGCCTGCCTGTGTATATGTATGTGCATGTGTACATATATATATACATGAGCATGCATACATGTGCCTGTGTGTACGTGTGTGTCTGTATGTGTGTGTACATGTGCATATTTGTGTCTGTGGGTAGCTATGTGTGTGTTTACCTGCGTGAATATGTGTGTACACATGTTTGCATGTGCATGTGTATACATGTGTGCATGTATGTATGAATGTGTTCATGCTTCTGCAGGTCAGAAGGCAACCTCATGTGTCCTTCCTCAGGATACCCACCTTTTCTTTTGAGACAGGGTATCTCACTGGCCTAAAACTCTCAAAGTATGCCAGGCTGGATCCCAGGGAGTACCAGGGATCTATCTACCTGTCTCCCTCTCCCCTAATGCCAGGATTACAAGAGTGCATTGCTGCCACACCCAGCTTTTTAGTGGTTTCTGTGGCTTGAACTCAAGCTCACTGACTTACCTGTCTCCCCAGCCCCCAATTAGCTCTTTTCTATCCTGACTTTAGATGGGGGACAGCAAACTGGGGAACACCAGCCAAATCTAGTTCACCATTTATTTTTGTAAATAAAGTTTTATTGGAACACAACCATGATTGTTCCTCTCCACAGTGTCTCTGACTGCCTTCAAGCTGCAAAGCAGTTAAATAATCCTGAAAGACATTATGGACCAGAAGCCTGAAGTATTCAGAGAAGCTCTTCATAGAAACAGCACTGCAGGCCTGAGAAGACCACTTTCTCATTCTTTACCTTGCAGGAGTGAGTGGACAGACACTGGCCATGCGCGCTCTGCTGCTGCCGTCAGGTCTGGGGGGTCCCCAGGATGACAGCCATGGTTACAAAGCTCCATCAAAACATCAAAAAGCAACCACCCGAGGAAGCCTGAACACCTGCTTCTTTTGGATGAGCAGCAAGAACCTTGGCAGCCAGAATACACGTGTTTATTATACACAATAATTGTTCAAAATGTTTGCCCTCCAAGTAAAGAAATCTATAAATGATTTTATGGGAAAATTAAATCTATTCTACTGCAAGAGTCTTAATATTTTGGCAAGGATGTACTATATACCAAGATGTGATGCTTTTGCTCAACTTTTAAATTCAACATTCTTAAGCAATAAACCAATCTTTTTCCATTTTTCAGGAAAAAAAAAACTGTGAAAAAGATGAGGTGGGCTAGCAAGATGGCTCAGTCAGTTACGATGGTTACCACCAAGCCTGATGACCTGAGTTCAATCCCTGGGCTTCACATGGTAAAAGGAGAGAATCAGCTCCCATAAGATATCCTCTAACCTCCACGTGTGCATCCTGCATGCACACACATTCAAAACAAATACAGTGTAATAAAAATTTTTAAAGAGAAACATAACACCTATTTGGGTATCTTTTGCCCTGACTCCATATGTATCACTTAGCTTAACTTGAAAGATAGAGATAGCAAAATAATTTGACTATTTGTAATATATTTTTAGCTATGATTGTGCTTTTGAGCAACAATGGTAACAACACTGGTACGGTGAGTCGGCGATCAGCAACCCCAAAAATGTGAAACATCAATAAAATATATACACAAATATAAAAATAATAAAAAGTTGTCCTTTTTGCTCACTGAAATTATGAAAGGGGATGAGGCAGTGGAGTGACAGGATATAAATGCCCAAGTCAATCCAGCAAAATGATGTTTGGGCCTTGGCCAGGTTCTAGGCATTCAGTTAGTATTTTATTGAGCACCTATCTGTGCCAGGCTCTACTCTGGTGCTACAGCAGTGAATGAGACCAATAAGATCCTGAGTTCCCAGAGCTGATCTGCAAGTCTGAGACACAGTAACACAGGGGACTCTACAGAAGTAGAGCACAAGCCACAGGTCTAAAAGAAATGAGATGAATCAGATGAGAACAGCAAGAGCTGCACGGGGAAGGGCCATTCTAAGAAAACCTTCATGCATGCTCCTGAAATTCCCCTGTGAAAACCCCTCTCACAGCAAAGGATCCAACCAGCTTGACCCCACTTCAACACAAATGGCTGCTCTCCTCTCAGGAGTGTGAGCTGCCTCACAGTTGGGTCTGAGGCGATTCCAGGGAGCAGATAGGACTGGAGGAACTTTCTCTGAGTGCTGTCATGTGTCTCTCAGGAAAACACTGATGGAGCCCCAGATCTACCACAGTGCAGCATGGGGCTGGCTCGGGTCACGGTGGAGAGTTCTTGATCTATGAAGCATACAGAGCTTGAAGAGAATCATGTTCTTCATCCCTCTGGCCCAGGAAGCTGGCTCTTGGGGAATGAGTCAGGATCTCTTGTCTTGTCTCAATTTGTCCAAAGGGAAACACCAACAGGAGATGGGGTGGGAGGCGAGACAGCCAGGTTCTTCTTCCTTCCCAGCCCCCTCCTTGGTGACAGTGACTGGGTCCCTCCACCAGTGATCACAGCCCTATCTGAGGTTCTTCTCCCATCACTTTAGCCCTCTCTGATCTTGAAGATGTCCCTCCATCTCCTGCATCAGTACTCCTCCATGCTTAGTGGTGCTCTGCCTTGCCCAGGCCTTTGTAGTATCTCCCCTTCTCCTTAACTGTCCTCAGGGGCCACAATGCTGACTCTGCTCTCAGATCAGAGATGGACTCTGGGCATCAGCTTTCTATCTGAGCTCCACAGATTAGGGAAGGCTGCAAGGACCGAATATTCTAGAATCAGTGCTTCTACTCAGAATCAGCAAGACTCAGCTCTAGACAGAAAAAAAATCTGAGGGAAGTGACCGCAGTGATTCCAGGTCCTCTGGCAGAGAAGGAAAAAGGCTCTGAGTGGCCATGACTTACCTTTCTGTGTTCAGTGGAGGGCTGTGGGCAGACGAGCTGGAATCCAAGCAGCAGGGCACACAGGGCACTGGGAAGGAAAAACAGCAACAGGAGGGTGTGAGTACCATCCTGGCAATACCTGGAGAAAGTTGGCATCTCAGTACTGGCAGGAAGAGGCCAGCCCAACCAGGGTCCTGAGATGGACCCAGGCAAGATGCCAAGAGAAAAGGGAAGTGGCTCCATGCTGGGCAGGGCCATGATATGTGGCAGATGTGGGATCAAATCTCCGACTTAACTACCTAACAGCAGGGCTGGTAAGTCTGGGTTAACCTCTAGGGGCCTCAGTTTTCCCCTTTGTAAAACGGGAATAACAACAGACATCGGCTCAAAGGTGAGGCTGGTCACTATCCTAACACAGACTACATGCCAGGGTGTGCTGGTCCTTCGCAGAACGATGAGTTCAGCATGTCAGGAGTTCTGAGGCTGGCCCGGAAGTTCCCCTCCTATGCCCCAGGCTTGCTTTGGAGTCTTCTGTCCATGTGTAGCCTTTGGAGTCACATCTGTTCTTCATGGGTGAGATCAGCTGCCTTAAGCCCCACTGTCACCAGCCCTGATTAGGACTTGTCATCAAATGAAGGGAAGATTCAGGAACAAGAGGCAGCTAGCCCAGAGGCAGTGGAAGACCATGGGCAGCTCTGGCTGCAAACACATCTAGGCGTGGTTCCCAGTACCACCGTTCCCATCTGGGTGATCCTAGGCAGGCTAACAGCTTGAAGATGCATTCTCATCTTCTGAGAGTGTCATGGGATGTGACATAGAACAAAGCACCCCACATGGGCAGCAGCTCAATCCCAGGGCTGGGGAGGTAGAGACAGGAGAATTGCTGGGGCTCATGGCCAGCCAGGCTAGTAGAATTGGTGAGTTCCAAGGCCAGTCTGGAAAAAAATGTTAAAGGTGGACAGCACCCAGGAACAACGCGTGCGTGTGCACACACACACACACACACACACACACACACACACACAATAAGAATTTAAGTGCTAAGAGTCTGGGTTTCTAATCATCAATGCCATTATTTTAAGCATCGCTGGGTCACTGAACCTTTTGGGGGGCTTAACTTGGAGGGCAGTTAAAGTAAGTTGTGAAGCAATTCTCAACCTTTTTAAGGCCTCCAACATCACTGAAAGATGCAAATCACTGTCTGAGTCCAAGAAAAACCACCCAGTAAGACTGGAGATGAGAACCCAGCTGTACTCGGGAGCTGAGGCTGTAGGGTGAAAGGAAGGCCCCAGGCCATCTCTAAGCATCCAGACTGCCATGTAGCCCAAGAATATTTTTATATTAGCACACAATACAAAATTGGTGGTGAAAGTATGGTGAGTTGATTTATCACTTACTGAGGCTCTAGACCAGTGCTAGAATTTTCCATTACACCTCCATGTTCTTCTGAGTTCTCCAATACATAAACACACAGATCTATGCTGTTTGGTACCCAGGAGACTAGTGGTCTAGATATTGATATCACAGAGTCCTTGATTAAGTCTAAAAATTATTTACTAAAAGAACAAGCATTCAACCAACAAAATTTCCCCAAACACACCTTCATTTGCACTTTGGTTTTTGTTTCATTGTTTTTGAAGACAGGGTCTCACTCTGTATAGTCTAGGCTGGCCTGCCATTCACAGTGTAGTCCAAACACTTGGCAATCCTCCTGCCTGGGTGACCCTGAACAAGCTAATCTCTCTAAGCAGCAACCATCCATCTTCTGTGAGGATCGCTGAATGCGACAGAAAGGAAAAGACCTGGCAGAGTCAGTAAGCGAGACCATTAATTGAGGTGTGCGGGGCTGGGGAGATAGCTCTGTCAGTAACATGCTTGAGGTCTAAGCATGAAGACCTGAGTTGGATCTCCACTCCAAAACCTATGTTAAAATAAAAATAAATTTAAAAAAAGGTGGGCCTGACTGAGCAGACTTGTGACCCCAGCTCTGGGGAGGCGGAAACAGGATAGACAATGCCTAGGATCGTCAGCCTAGCCTAACTGGTGGTCTCCAGGCTAGTGAGAGACCTGCCTCCAAATGAGGGAGACTACTCCTGAGGAATAGCATCTTTCAATTGTCTGCTGTCCTTCCACATGTACATGCACACCCTCACATACATAGACCACACACACACACACACACACACACACACACACAGTCTTTTGTTAAAGTTGCAATGGACCAGAAAAGCCACCCAAGGCATGTTCCAGTGATGGGGAGGAACATCTGAAAGCTGGCTCTCCAGACAGTGGGGGAAAGACAGTATTTTCTAGTTCTAGCCTACTAGTTTCAGTTTATCCTAGAAATTAAAAAAAAAATGCATCTCAGCTTAGGAGTGCACACCCCTACATCACAGAACCTTGACAAATCCCCTTCTCTCCCATCCTTCACTGGCCTCATCTGTACAATGGGAATAATATAACTTGCCCTACCCAACTCAAGTGAGTTAATGCCTGAGAAAACACACTTTGAACTGAGCCCACAAATCTGAGTCATTTGTAAGCCATTCTGGCACTGTTTACTCATTTAAAAAGAAAACCAGGCTGATGTGGTTTTCCTTACAAAAACAAACAGCAGTTCCATAAACTTGTTACACCTCAGCCCCTCAAAGCACTTGGCTCACCCAGGAGCTACATATTAGTAATGCGAGGACCAGTTGTGCATGAGCACTGATCCTAGGCTGCATTAGAGGATTCAGGGGGACAGGAGTAAGGAAGCACAAGATTCTCTAGGAAGGGAGAGTCTAGGTTTTCCTGTCTCAGAAGAACTTATCCCAAGTGGCCTGTCAACTTCACTTCTTCTTCATAAAACCACTCCCTTTTCTAGCCCAGACTATTTCTTTTTCCCCATAGCACTTAACTGTGTCTTGTGCCATTTAAAATTCTCTCTCATCCCATTAGAAAGCAGCATGAGGGCTGGGAAGACAGCTCAGTGGATAAAGTGCTTGAGGCACAAGGACCTGAATTCAACCCCAAAAACCCACATTTAAAAAAATAACCAGGCTTGCCAGTGTGCTGGGAAGGTAGAGACACACAGATTCCTAGGACTCCACCACCAGCCAGCCTAGTCTCCTCACTGAGCTCCAGACCAGTGAGAAACACTGTCTGAAAAAAAAAGGTGAATGGCACCTGAGGAATGACACTTCAGGTTGTCCTCTGGTTTCTCTCTCTCTCTCTCTCTCTCTCTCTCTCTCTCTCTCTCTCTCACACACACACACACACACACACACAGATTATAGCATGAGGTCAAAGGGTTGATTTTTGACACTGTCTTATCCCTAACACTTAGCAGAATGCCTACATCACAGAAAGTGCTTGACACACTGAATCAGTGAACAGTGCACTGAATTAATGACTGATGCCTCCCCATTTAGATGCTTCTGAGAGTCCAAGACAAACGGAACTTGTGGGAGTGGCCAAAGTAACTTCTAGAATTTTAAATTTTGTTATTTACTTATTTATTCTTATTTTATGTGTATCAATGTACTGCCTACATGTATGTAAGTGCACCCATGTCATGCAATGCCTGTGGAGGTCAGAAGAGGGTGTCACATCCCTTAAAACTGGAGTTTCAAATGGTTGTTAGCCGCCATGTGGGTGCTGTGAACCAAACCCAGGTCCTCTGCAAAAGCAGCCAGTGCTCCTAACTGCCGCGCCATCTCTCCAGCCACCTCTGGGGCTCCTTAATGTTCTTTTATGAGGAATTTACAAAAATAATGATTTTTAACATTTCTATGTGATCCATAACCCCCAAAAAACAGTCTCATAAGATTTCCACGAAAAATGTCTGCTGATGCCTCTTGCAGCATGAGTTCCACTTAGCTGCTCGACTCTGTTCCCTCCTCTACCTGGCCCTGCTGAAGCTCAAGCATACGGGGTGCTCCACAAAAAAATCATTCTGGGAAAAAATCTTAGTTATTAAATCGACTCTGTTCTGAATGGGATAAAATAAATTCCCCCAGAGGGGAAATTATTCTTTGAGCTGCAGTAACAGCAGCTATAACCCCAGGGGCCAGAGGAAACTGCCAAGGGCTGAAGGCTTCCCACCCCTGCTCAGCAGAGGCTGTCTGGGGCCACCCCACCCCGCTCACACATACTTCACTAATTGGTAGTCTATTGCTGTGCCCATGCTGCTTCCAAACACCCACAACCTAACCCAAATCCTCGTTCCTCCTGACCCAGTTCTGGATTACTGCTGGGGAACAGGGGATCATGTATGTGTCTATGTGTAGCTCCTATGTTATTTCACTTGGATAGTTTGCTTTGGCAAACTGTTCTCAGCTTGCAATGTCTTGACAGACTGAAGGCTACCAGGGCCTTTGGCAAAGGAATCACACACTCCTCTCCACAGGGAAGGTGGGGGGAGCCACATTCTTCCCAAGAATTTCTGATTCACCTTGCAGTCAAAACTACCTAGCATTTCACACCCATTAAAAAAATAAAAATAAAAAAATAAAAAAATAAAAAGCATGTGCCATTTAACCACTGCTGGGCTAGATTTCAAGAACTCTACAAGAAAATAACGCTCAGTACAAGATTTACATCACAGAACTAGGGCTCTGGGCTTCTCTATTTGCCTTGGCCAACACAGCGCCCCTCACCCAACCATCTCACCCCAGCATTCACTATATCACCACCACTGCATAACTCGCATCCCCTCAGTGGACTCAATACCATCTGAGCATCTCGGGTATCAAAACAGAGAGAGAGAGAGAGAGAGAGAGAGAGAGAGAGAGAGAGAGAGAGAGAAACCACTTTATTCTTTTCTTTTTCTGTTAATACTACCCAAGAGATATTTTGGGGATGGCCTAAAATGATGTTGACCTGCATCGAGGGGAGCCAAAACCTGAGCACTGCCATCAATTCCCACCTAATTCCCACTGGAGATGAATGTTTTGCAGCATGGGTTTCAGCATGGCCAGCTCAGTCTGCCTTCCTCTGGCAGCCTTTAAAGTGGCTATGCTGGAGCCCCTGGAACTGGAATAAATAAAATATTTTTTTAAGTGGCTATTCCAGGGAGGGAGATGGTTTCAGCCCCCACTAGCCAAA